GGGGTCGAGGAAGATAGAATGAATGAGATAAAAGGGGTGGGAGAATTGGATTTTACCGACAGAAATATAGCTAGGTCTACTTTAGCTATATCGTTTTGTCTCACACTGTATGTTTTTTTCCCGCCGTTTCAGAGATTCCCTGTTCCGTCTGGACCTGAAGGATCTGTCTCTGTTGGAGCAGGCAGACTGGAAGTCTGACGACCGCACGCACAACATCTGCATCAAGAAGGGGCAGACTGCTGTGAGTTCTAGGGCTAATTGTTAGTCTATCTGTCGAAAAGTGTTAGTCTATCTGTCGAATAGTGGAACTGTCTTTAAAAAACCGGTCTCACGAATAATCTTAAAAGAAAACTGTATGCTTTACTGTATTTTTAAAAATATATTAATATGTCGAAATGTTTTTTGAAATGTAGATGCAAATATTTGCCTGTCGAACTGTTTGTCAAAATGTCTGTGGAAGTGTTTGTCTGAAAGTGTCTATTGAACACTTTGAATTTATGAGGAACGGTATCTCTGTCTTTCGAACAATGTGTCATTCTGCCTTTTAAAAGAAACAGTTTAACCCTATGTCCGCTCAATTCTGTATAAGATACGAGACACGTGTTGCTTTTCAAACAGCGACGAATGCAATGACACAGTAAGAGCAAAAAAATAAATAAAATGAAAACGACAACAGACAAACAAACAAATTTAACCAAACCGTCCTCTCGGTGTCGTTCCACAGGAGTCATGTCACAACTTCGTGCGCGTCCTGTTGATGGTGGACAAGGAGGAGAAAGTGTTTGCCTGCGGCACGAACTCCTTCAACCCACAGTGCACCTGGAGAAATGTGAGTATAAACTGTAGGAACACGTCTTCTATCTTCCTGAGAGTGTCCAATCCATCGTCACCGCCTTCTTTCCACCTTCTCTCTGACTGGTAACTGTCTTGTTGTCCTTGACACTTCTTCGTTGGTGACCCTGTTTGTCAATCTGGTCCTCAGTAACTTCTTTCGACACTTGTTCAAGAAAATCTGGATCCTATTTATACAAGTTTGAGATGCGTTCCACGTCTACCAAACCGTAACACAACCTTGTTATCTTCCCTCTCGGTGAGCCACCTGGCATACTCCGAGAAGACGGAAGACGGAAGAAGCGTCTGCCCGTAACACAACACATATATACGCACACATAGACACCTCCCCC